ACCTACCGCTGAAGAGAATTGCCGAAAATCAAACGAACTATTTTCAATTTGATCAATTTTCTGAAACGTTTACAATCGTTCTATAATCGAACCAATACGCAATAACAAATTCGAATTTAAAACAGTTCGAACATTTTTAAAATTGAAATATATAAAAATATTTAAACAATGTCTGAAATGTGATCAATTTAATACACCTAAGTACTCGATGAAGACTAAACGTAGTTGAAAACAAAAAATCGCATCTAAAATAGTACAGTAGAAGCCATTCTTCCGGTTAAGCTTAATCCTCTCCCTCTCCCCCCGCGGGAGAATTTAGAAAAATCCCTTCTTAGTGTCCATTCTCATGGCATACCCTACTAAAACGCATACAATACGAATACGAAATAACAAATTCGAATTTAAAACGGTTTGAACATTTTTAAAATCGAAATACATAAAAATATTTATAACAATGTCTGAAATGTTATTAATTTAATACACCTAAGTACTCGATGAAGACTAAAACCTCTCCCTCTCCCCCGAGGGGAAATTTCAAAAAATCCCTTCTTAGTGTGCATTCTCATGGCATACCCTACTACAACGCAGATAAAAACAAAAAATCGCATCTAAAATAGTACAGTAGAAGCTGTTCTTCCAGTTAAGCCTTAATGCTCTCTCTCTCCCCCCGCACGGGAAAATTTAGAAAAATCCCTTCTTAGTGTGCATTTTTATGATGTACCCTAACTGTGAACCAAATTTCACCTATTTAGGTTTAGCGGTTTGCTCTGGGCAATGATGAATCAGTAAGTCATTCAGTCAGTCAGGACAAGCAATTTTATAAGTGATTTTAAGAGCCCCTTTCAGATCTGGGTCCTAGGCAATTGTAATTGTGTAGTTTGTCTAGGCCAGACTTTAGCCTTGTTTTTAGGAAAAAATTTGAATATAATAGTATAAGAAAATCACCAGATTAAAAAAATTGTTGCCAAAATTGCCAACAGGCATGAAATATCATCAGACCTGGCAACATACCTGCATGTTGCCTGTCCATTGTTAAAAATTTATTTGGTTTCCCACAAAGCCAGTCCCATACCAATTTGGCACTCACTTAAAGTGACAATATATATTATGTGACCATCAATGCAAATCACTTACAGGACACTGTGTACAAAGGGTTAGTTTACAGCATGAATATCCATTGCTATAAATTAATCCATGGCAAAATGATGTGAAAGATGCATATAAATAAAGATCAGCATATTAGTTTGTAAAACAAACCAATTCTGATATATCAGAAGCATTAGCTGTGTTTACCAGAGTCAGCAGTTGTATAACTGAGCAAAGGTGTTTCAATCAGTAGCTTTTATGTAGTTACATCTGCTGAACAATCAGTGACATATGCATTGGAACAGGAAGCAGCCATCATTGATCAGTTTCAGCTAGCATTAGGTAGCATAAATGAAAGATGCTAATAAGTGTGATGTTAAAACACCAAACATGTTCTTAAACAGCACTACTGTAGAGGGCATTCAGCAGAACAATACTGAACAGCTCCGGAACTGTTGAGTCTTCTGAACACAACCATTCTAATATATCAGTTCTGGGTATACCTCTAATATATATTATATATATATATATATATATAAAGTATATCTGTGACTCTAAACAGTATACATATATATACTCTTCAGAATCACAGATATACTTTATATATGTTGATTCTAAAAACAGTGAGTCATACTGTCTATACTCTATCATAGTCTGTCCAGAAGGTTTAAAAAATGTTATGATAATAAATGATGATTTAACCTACAATTTTACATACAATTGATCTGAATAATAAAAATTAAACATTTAAAACATGTGTGATTAAATTTTTTGCATGAATTTCTCATTAATAATAAATTATGAAAAATTAGCAGTTATTTATTGTGACATCATCACAATGCCGATCTGCAGTTTTTAATCATATTTTTAACTTATTTAACAACTACAGTGATCGATGGATACACCCATCAAGGGCGATCACATAGCACTGGAGAACGACGTCTATATTCAGAAAAGAATTTTGTGGATATCACCAAAATCTAGCCAAAAACTACTGCAAAAGGAATTATGTGACAATAAAAAAATTTTTCTTTACTAGACATAACTGTTTAAGAAAAGTTTTCCGAAACGGTAACAAGAAAAATGCATGGGAAAATTCTTAAAAAATTTTCCATGTTTATTCTCCACTACATCATGATAGCACCATATCTGTCTAACCCTCTGTACAAAGGTTAATTTAAAATATATGCTCTCCACCTCAAATTAGTAGTGTCTTCCCTCTATATCATATTTTCCTGTTAGCAATAGTCATGCTGGTCATCTATCTAACTCCTTTCAGGGAAAAGTTTTTTAATTGAAATAACATGACTTCCAGTGCAAACTAGAAGTCATGTTAACTGGGGTCTCCTGCCCATAAGCTTTCCATATCTGTTCATGACTTTCATCTAGTTTCATTCTCGAGATTAAGGAAGGACAGACAGAATCTAGAGGTCTCAAATTTTTTCAAATTGCAGCCCAATATTCAGAATGTTACTTGTCAGCTACAACTTCCATTTTTGTTTGTTCTTTCTTGGAATATTTTAAAATCTCTCTTACATATTATTATTAAAGGCAATTTTAATTTAAGTTTTCAAGACAAATGGTGAAGAAAAAGATATTGCATAAATTTTTTCTTTATCTTTTAATTAAAAAAGAAAATTTATTGCTCTAACTCCTAATACAAATAGATTATAATATATCAATTTTCTGTTCAAATTATTACAGGTATCCTTTGCTTAATGCGGGATTTGATTAATACACAAAATTAATTTCAGCAATCCCTTTATAGACATGGCAGAAGTTTTAATTAACATGGATTTACCAGCTATCTCTACTTAATATAGATACTGTATTTGATAAACATGATTTTGATATACATGATTATGTCAAGGGATTAATTAACCACATTAATCAAGGAATATCTGTATTTTCAGTTTATTTAATAAATTAATTTATGTACACTGTTGTTTTATTTTTGAAAACTTTATAAGTAGTCATATTGTAAATGTCTTATATTGAATATTTATATTTTGTGATTTCTCTTATTTTTGAAGTTATATTAAATGATATAATATAAATTTAAAGATATAATTTAATTTTTATTTAATAAAAACAAGTTTTCTGAATAAATTTCTATCATTCATAGTAATTTATTTATTAAATATTTTAATTAATTTTTAGGTTTACTGCAACCATGAAAAGTTTCAAGAATTAGTAGCAATGAAAATCTGTAGTTTCTTCATCTTTGTCTCATATGTTACTCCAAATTTATTTTATCATGCAGGAATTTATTAAATAAATAATTTACTATGGCATTAACTATTAAAGAATTATCACAATTGTTAAAGTAAGTAAGAATGTTATATTAATATATAAAAGAATATTTCAAATTAGATTTAGTTCATAATTATTTTAACTAAGATATTTGATTAGTTATAATATTTTAACTTATTTATAATATAATTTATTAATTTATATATATAGTATGTAAACATTAATATAGATGGCTTTATTACACATTATTTTTTTTAAATGTAAAATTAAATTTTGAATATTGTTTTCTATTGAACAAAATACACAATATTTTCAGTTATAGGGTGATATTATCACTTAAGATAAATTATTGAAACGTTTTTATCATTTTTCTATTTAAATGCAGGATTGTTCATTAAAATTGCCAGATGATTCATTTAAATGTTTTCTACATTTATGATCTCATTTGATCATTAAAGTAATGACCATTGTGTAATTGAAACATCATTAATGTAGAGAAAAACATAGACTATAAAAGATACAGCAATATTAAGAATGTTTGTAATTTTCAAGCAAACCATACATTATTAATCAATTTTCAATCAAATTTGAAAGATATTTTTTCCCTCATCAGAAATTATCTGTATCCATGTTAACATAAGTTACAAGATATGTATTCATATTAATGTAAATTGCAATATGATTGTCCAGAAAGTTTGTAACAATTTTTGATAGATGACATCCTGCAGGATGTCAAAACTATTAAAAAAGTAAAATATATATGCATATAAAATGAAATATATCAAGATGCATCCATTAGAAAAAGTTTGTTAGGATTTTTTAAATAATATTTAATCTTCATTAAAATGAAAGCAGACAAGGTGTATTTTCAACATTTGATGCTTTTCTTTTTCTGGAAAGACAAAAATATGGAAGAAACAATAAATGAAATATATACTATTTGTGACTGTACTGTTGCTAAATCAACAGTTCACAAATAGTTTGCTAAATTCAAAGCTGGTGATTTTAACCTGGAAGATCCTCTGTACTTGGAAAGATTTAGTGCCATTGAAGGTGACTAGATTGAAAATAACATTCATTACACTACATGGAAAATAAACGAAATTATAAACTATTCAAAAAGTAGTGCATTTGACTTTTTTTTTTTTTAACTCTGTCCTGTGGGCACTAAGATGGCCTTTTTAGCAAGCCCTTTATGAGTTCAACCAGGCTCATAATAGGACAGCTGGATGGTGAAGGATGGAGCCTGAGTTATCTGGATGAACCCCTCCAAAAATTTTTTGGCATTTTCAATCTATCTAAATTCAATCCCAGATCTCCAGAATGGCCAGCTACCACCTTAACTGTATGGTCATTCAGCCATCATATTTGACCATTTAAAGAAGCTTGATTATGTGAAACACTATGATATTTGGATACCACATAATATGATCAAAAACAAATTATTGGCTTGGATCTTTGTGATTCACTTCATGGTAAGAACTTCAAAAATTATTTTGCATAATAAATAAGAAAGTTCTTTCAAGATTGAATTATGAAGTTACCAAATATGTGTCATCATTCCATTAAAAATAATGGTGTGTATATCACAGACTAGAGATAAAATACAGTAGACCCTCTATAACACGGTAGATATGTTCCATTTTATATGAATTCTGTGTTTCATATCTGTTCATGACTTTCATCTAGTTTCATTCTCGAGATTAAGGAAGGACAGACAGAATCTAGAGGTCTCAAATTTTTTCAAATTGCAGCCCANAGTCCAGCACGTGTGCAATTTAGGGACTACAGCTGTTTGAAAGATTTTCTTCCATAAAATTAATCAATTCTAGACTAATTTGACTCAACATTTCCAAAACATGTATAATTTTTTGGGAATAATCCATATAAACTATGCTAAAAACAAAAAATTGTAGGATTACTTACCGAGTGTACACCGTTTGACGACGCCATTGCTTAAGCTTGTTTTCGTTGTGGAGCAGCACATCGAACGGCGGGCGTGTGTTTTCTGATAAGTTATTTTTCTGTGAAAAATTTGCTGAAAATTTGTGAAAAATTATATTTATATTATTGATGTCTCCAAAGACATCAATAATATAAATATAATTTTTATGGCCATTAAATAATAAATGGTTTTTAGTAGGTCTGCTGCTCGTTTAAACTCAATGGTTTGTGCAATATCCGCTATTGGTCTTAATTCAACCAATCCTGTTGCGACACAAGTCAGCGATGACATTTTACCATATTATACGAGTCTCTTTTAGTGTTTATATGAATACGATCGCAATTTTTTCACAGTGTTATACAAATCCATATTATATGAACCCATGTTATAGGGGGAATCTACTGTATAATATTTTAAAACTTATACATACAGAGCTGCCACTTGGTCCAGAGAACCTTTTTTGTGCAAAAGTTTTTTTTTTTGTACTGTACAATTTATTTACAATTCTTTTATTTGATATATTTGTTCTATATTTAAAAACAGAATTATTCAATACATTTTTCATTCAAATTCAATGATTAGTTTTGAGTTAGTAATTTTTTAAGTGAATTTTTTTACATATTGGAAGTTCATAAAATATTTATTAGTTTCTAAAAAAACAGGTACCATCTGTTGCACTTACATAATGAGGACTGTCACTTACCAGTGTGACAGTCCTCATTATTTAAGTGCAGGAAAAACAAATTTTACAAAAATCTTTTATCAATGAGGATTTGCTCAAAAGATTTTGTCATCCTTAACTAAATAACAATTTTCTGCTAAAAGCTGATATATTATTATATACCTGAATATTAGTCAATGTTCCCCTCCAGTTTTAAAGGAACAAAAAATTGCTTTTGACCTATATTTGGGTCCAATTAAATTTTCTTCAATTTAGATAACTGTATGTGGTACACATTGTACAGGGTTAAATTGATGCTAAAATGTGGTATATTGATTGTTTAGCAATGCTAAAAGTCAGCTAACTTGTGATCCATCTGATGCAATCAGTAAACTAGGTTTGGGAAGTGTTTAGCATGATTGTAAATAATTTGTTAGTTGATTGTTTTTGAATGATCAACCAAACTAAGCCAATTTGTTCTTATTATATTCAACAGAATCAGAACTTGTACAGAAATTTTAATTTGGTAACTTCTTTATTTTACTGTTAGTCTTTACTAATGAAACAATTGTCAGAAATTGGGAGAATGTTGTTGAAAATTTATTGCCAAATTTATTCTGTTATAGAGTATAAATTTCTCTTATAACCTTATTGAATACATAAATTTAAAATCACTTGTTTTAGATTGTTATAGAAAAATAAGACAAAAATGAAACACAATGTTTTAGTTTGTTTTTCTTAGTTTTCTATAATTCTCAATAGTAGTCATAAAATTGAAAGTACACTTTTCAGAATACATGTGAAATATGCAAGGAAACCTACTTCTCTGGCATCATAAGAAACAATAAGTTGCAATTTGTCACTTGTATGCCTCAGACACCTATATTATATTTCTATAAAATGTAAACTCTTTGAGTACAGTTTCCCAATCAATTATAGATGATTTAAATTGAATTTCTAAAAATTTCTAAGAAAACAATCAAATATTCATTTATGCTGATTATATTTACAAATATTTGGAAATGAAATTAATGATGACAATGAAAGTTCTGATGAAGGTGAAAGTGAAGAAGTATTGTTTTAATGATTTTCCAAAGTTTTTAATGCAAATTGATAATTTTTTGTATGCAAATAAAACTACAGTAGAGCATCGATTATCCGACTCAATTGGGGACTGGGGTTGGTCGGATAATTGAAAAGTCGGATAACCGAAAAGTATGAAAAAATCCATTACAGTAGAGCCTCGATTATCCGACCCAATTGGGGACTGGGGTTGGTCGGATAATTGAAAAGTCGGATAACCGAAAAGTATGAAAAAATCCATTATTAGGGTAGTATATTATTATATCCCATGTAATTAGTATATTAGTATATTGCTATTAACCTGCTTCGCGTTGAATTTTCCTCCATGTTAAGCCTATCAAATTTTTTTAAAAAATAATAATCGTCACTATTGTATCGTTAAAAATTAGAAAATTAAGCCTCTTTTAAATACTGGCTCCCTTTCATGGTTGATCCAGTGTTGCCAGCTAAAACACGTAAAAATAATATTAAAGTAGCCAAGACATAGCCAAATATTGTAGCGCCACATCACTAGCGAAAATTTTAATTTGCCGACTAGAACGCGGTCGGTTAACCAAGGTGATGGTTAATTGAGGGTTGGATAATCAATGCTCTACTGTAATAATAAAAATTTATCTTATATCATTATCAATTTTTATTAGTATAAAGGGTGGGGCCCTGTTACTTTTGGGCTAAGTAATTACAATTATCAAAAAGAAAATATACATTTTACAAACAATAAATCAAAAAATTTACATCAATAATTATTTTTTTACAAGTTCATAAAAATGTGACTTATATTCAAGTTCTAATTTTCTTTTCAGAAGCAAGGATTCCAAAATTTGGAGTTCATTTATTGAGGCCAATATGGTACATTAAAAAATTCAAGTAAAAAAAGAATTCTGTTATAAAAAAATATACAGTACAAAAACTAAAATTGATTACAATATTAAAAATCATGTCAAGAATCACATGGTAAAATTCTTTTTAATATTTATAAAAAACTGCTAATTAAATGGATATTGAATAAAATTTATTATTCACTACTGCATTTAAGTAAAATGAAAATATAAACGATTTCTCAGGTGTTAGTTTTGCTTTAATGATTAATAGGTTTTGTAAATAACAGTACCTATTGTTTTCTGTAATTAAAACACAGTCTGGTTTGTTCAATTTGGAATGTAAATAAAAATTTGTTTACTTCAGAAAAATTATCAATTCTGATGAAAATGAGCCTTTCTTATATATTTTACTTTATATAAAATCAAAACAAATTTTTTTTAATACTACAAAATATTAATCTTAAAAGATGTATTTTTAATTTAGTAATATGTTTTACAAAATAATTTATTTTAGTTTGAATTGAATATGTAATTAATAATAATAATAGTTTATTTGACATATA